ATGTGTACTCTTGAGTCTTGACACTTTTTTTAATCTCTTCGATCTTCCTGAAAGTGTTTTGATATTTCAATACTCCACTTTTTTGTTGGAGCATGAACCTGAAGAAAAAAGACATGCCAACATGACAAGACTGGTTCTGCCAAAGCCTTCCGACCCCAACTTTCCATATCCTTGTATCAAAGGCTTCGTTGGATTATATCAGCAGGTACTCACGTGGTAGATTTGAAACATGACCCAAAAGATCTCTTATCTCTCAGTTTCATCTAGTGATGTGAGCTCCACCCAAGGGGTTGCTCAATAGTCAATACCACGGCTTACCTCCTCCCCGCAAGACTTTGAGTAGAAGGGCGCCCACCTAGACAATTTCATCATTTGGAACATGGTTCTCTCTTACTTTCTCTTTAATAGTTACTGTTCTCATCCCGAGTCATTTTTAATTGCTAACGGTCTTTCCCTTTTTCTTAACTCCTAAAATTAATTCACATCTATTTTAACATACATATCCCTCTACTATCCAAGTAGGAGTAAGGTCTGCGTACACACACACTCCACAATCCTACTTTAGTAGAATTCTTTTGGGTTGTTGTTGCATAACTTGTATCGCAACCACCACCTTTTTTTTAATATTTCAGCATTTTGATTCAGATAGTAATATAGTATCACATGTCTAATGGTGGTGGTTCTATATAATATGTTTTTTGGTCTTAAATGATCTAATCATCACTTTAATTTTTGATCAGTACGTATTCTTGTTTTGAAACTAGACCAAACATACTGCAAATCAGAAACATTAATACTGGACTAGACAGACACTAGGCTATTTCACTCACCATACTAGATGATATATTTAAAACAAAGATATTGAAATTCTAAGCATTGAGACCCGACTTAACAAAAGACTGAGACAAAATTATACTCGATCAAAGGAATTTTTGATATGTGTTCATAATAAATTAGATCAGAAAGATTCAAAAGAGACCAGATCTTGAAATATTCCTATTAGAGCAGCGCCAACAAATTCTTAGACACCTCTAACAATAAGTCTTGATGCTAGTGTTAACTATTATTATTCCTCCCTATTTTAGTTAACATGCATTGTTTTGGTCTCTCTCTTCTTAGCTATTTGTATAATAGATCCTACATATTAGGAACACCAATTGATAAATCTAACCCAATAACCCATCCAATTTCACCCACTTTGATGTTTATGTTTAATGGTGCTTAATTTTCTTCCTATACTTAGTTTCACTTTGAATTATCACACGCCATTACGATTCTAACTTTACAACAATCCCTTTTTGGATACATGAACAAACACCATATCATTTGCATACGAAATACATTATGTTATCTCACCTTGGCTAGGTGTGGTTTAACTAATTCATGATGATTGTG